GATAGATAGATAGATAGATAGATAGATAGATAGATAGATAGAGGTAGTCCTTGTTTAGTGATTGCCTTGTTTAGCAACTGTTCACACTTACAACAGTGATGAAAAAGTAACTTTACAACCAATCCTCACATTTACAACCTTTCAGGTCTGTAAAGCAAAGGAAAGCTGAAGTAAGATCATAAGCATAGTTGTGGTTTCACTAACCAACTGCTTCACTTAATGACCAAGTTGTGGTCCCAATTGTGGTCACTAAATGAAGACTATCTGTACATGTAAATATACATACATATGAGCAGTGGTGTGCTGGAGCTGGCTTGCAAGTTATACAGCCATTCTATGCTTAATAAAGCTAAGTACTGTTTGCCTTTTTAGGTGTTGCTTGTAGATCTTTCGCAAGGAGTGTTCTTAAAAATGGTAAGTTCCATCCAGATCCTGTATTATCACTGGTTGAAGAACTTAGATCTGCTCTTCTAGGCAAGGATGCAAAATTCATCCTGTCCAGTTTCTTCTCAGGATTTTAGCTCTGTTTCAGTTGCTTGGTCACCAGTCATTTTACAGCAGTGTCTTGCAACATTTTTCCTTTGGGAGCTTATCTCTCTCTCTCTCTCTCTCTCACACACACACACACACACACACACACACACACACACTCACATACACACGCCTGCCTGCCTGCCTACCTACCTACCTACCTATAATGGCCACTGAAGGCCACAGGGCAGAGTAGGCAAAGATGCAGTGATATCACTAGAGGCAATGGAGATGAAATTTTTGGCCCCCTTTTTAAGGGGCTAGTTTTTTAAAAAAACAAAAACAAAATAGGCACATTAATTTTGTAGATTTGCTACTAAATTTGGGCACCATAATTTTGGGAGGCCCTAGGGTAATTAAAATACTAGAAGAATATATATGCAATAGATGAGACTATCTGTAGCTCAGGGTTGACCTGTGGAGTTCTTGGTTCTCTCTGAGCTTGGTTATTTGCTTGCAGATGTTTCATTACCCAACTAGGTAACATCATCAATGCCTGAAGATGTTACCTAGTTGGGTAATGAAACATCTTCTAGCAAACAACCAAGCTCAGAGAGCACCAAGAACTCCGCAGAATGCATATTGTCTAGCTCTGCTTTATACTCTCCTGATACCTTTTCCTTATTACCTGCTTTCTCCTTTCTTAATCCTTTCCTTCTCTCCCTCTCTTCAATATATCTTGGTTAATTCTTCTGACTTTACTTTGCTCCTGTTCTATCCCAACTTCCAATTATGGTTGTCTGTCATTATCTGGGTTGCCTTGAAAAATGGGCTATTAATATTTCAGTTAGATATCCTCCTTTTACATACCATATCATTAATCTATCACTTTTGCTAATGTTTCCTATGACATCAAAATATTTATTTTATTTATTTTTATTTTATTTATTGGATTTCTCCCCTGACCATTTCCCCCACAATAGGGGACTCTGGGCAACTTACAAAAAACATTAAAACTATAAATATATCTAAAACTGTTTCCTATGACATCAAAATATTTATTTTATTTATTTTTATTTTATTTATTGGATTTCTCCCCTGACCATTTCCCCCACAATAGGGGACTCTGGGCAACTTACAAAAAACATTAAAACTATAAATATATCTAAAACATATAAAACATCCAAAATTTAAAACAATACTAAAAAATGAAGATCCAAGAAGATGGAAAATCAGGCTGGGGAG